ACTCTGACACCCACTATCGGGATTGTATGCCCAGTGATAAAAGGCTTCTCTGTGAACTTCGATCGAGGGGGCAGCCGTCCTGTCCAACTGTGAAAATGCCATATAGTTTTTGACCTTTCTTCTTTCCTCTTGTCCTCTCCCTCTGTTAGGAGCCGGTTGCCCTAGAACAGTGGTCGGCAAACTCATTAGTCAACAGAGGCAAATATCAACAGTACAGCGATTGAAATTTCTTTTGAGAGCCAAATTTTTTAAACTTAAACTATATAGGTAGGTACATTGTTATTAACTTAATTAGGGCACTCCTAAGGCTTAGGAAGAGCCACACTCAAGGGGCCAAAGAGCCGCAGTTTGCCAACCACTGCAGAAGGAAGGGATAAGTATAGCTCTTTTTAAAAAAAGTTATTGTTGATAGTATTAGGGATACTATAACTCTTGTCTACCAATGTAAAGAAGATTGCACATTAGCCCGGCTGGTGTTGCTCAGTGGTTGGGCGTCGACCCATGAACCAAGAGGACACTGGTTTGATCTCCAGTCAGGGCACATGCCTGGGTTGTGGGTTTGATCCCCAGAAAGGGTGTGCAGGAGGCAGCCAATCAATTATGATTCTCTGTCATCATTGATTTTCTGTCTCCCTATTCCTCCTTCTAAAAAAAAAAAAGAATAAAAACATTTTAAAAAAAGAAAAAGAAGAAGCAGCCTGCACTTTTAAAAGTCCCGTCTTTCAGAAGGACACCTGCACCCAGTGCACCGGCTCCTCTTCACCGAGTGGCTTCCGGGCATGTCACAGCCTCTAAAGGCCTCTTTCTTTCCTCTACTACTATCAACACTCGAGTCCTGTGAGTCACAGGTTAACTCACTTGAGGCTTAATCCTTTGAAGAAATTACCCTCCAGAGAAGCAGGATTTGGGAGGAACTGAAAGTTGATTGGGAAGGACACTCACAAACACGAGTGTTGTCTCCAGGAGGATCTCTGGGAGACATTTTTTTAAAAAATGTATATTTTTATTGATTTCAGAGAGGAAGGGAGAGAGAGATAGAAACATCAGTGGTGAGAGAGAATCATTGATTGGCTGCCTTCCGCCCGCCCCTACTGGGGATTGAGCCCACAACCCCAGCATGTGCCCTTGACTGCAGTCAAACCCTTGACCCTTTAGTCCCCAGGCCAATGCTCTGTTTGCTGAGCCAAACCAGCTAGGGCAACATTTTGAAAGGTCCAACTATTCAAGGTGAAGGGGAAAGCCTCTGCTGAAATAATGATAGTATCATTTGTTGCCAGGCAGTGTGCAAAGACCTTTAATGTATTGTCTCATTGAATACAACCCACCTGTTGTCACCCCCATGACCAAATGAGGAAACCGAGGCCCAGATGCCCACAGCTAATAAGGGAAGAAGATGGCATCCCTGGGATAAAAGTGCACGTCTGTCACAACGTTCTGGCTTGGCCAGACTGTAGGTGCTGGATAAATGTTTACTTGAGTGAGTGAAGTAGCCTGGGCACTGAGTAAATGCCCGGTGAGGAGGGGCAGGAATGAGGAGGGTGCCTTCCTGCCTCCTGCAGAGGAACAGGCACCGGCGTTAGTGCTGGGGGTTGGGGGACTTGCCAGGGCCTGTCTTTCTTAACAAGAAAGTGACCCGTGTTACTACAGCATTTCCCCCAAAGAAGCCTGGCTCTGACATTTCTGTAATCCCAGGGGTGGAAGAGGAAGACGCACACTTTCCTCATCTGTCCCTCTGCTGCTCTGGTGTTCCTGGGGCTCCCACTTGCAAAAAAATGCCCTGCTGTTCCCCTCCCCAGGATCACACAGGTGAGGCCAGGCTGGGAGGAAGGACGGGAGAAGCGGTTGTAGTTCAGGTCATTTTGGAAAACCGCCTGAGTAGTTTCCAGCGTGGACCACACACCGGAGGGCCTTATTCAGGGGAAGGAACTGTTGCATCACCCATTGGCCAAGGGCAGAACCAGTCTTCTCGTTAGGGTTCTCCTCCATTGTGCTGGGGACTGGGTGCCAGAGGGGCCTGTTTGTTGTTCCAAATTGCCAGTTTCTGGGAGAAGAAAAATACTTCGTGTCGTCTCATTTAAGCATCTGCTTAGATCAAACAGTAGTGACCAGGAGGCCAGATCCTGTGGTTCAGACATGATCACCAGGAGCACCCCCCCGCCTTCTTATAGGAGAGTGTAGGAAGAGCAGGGAGCATTGGGCAGCCCCCCCTCCCCCTCCCCTCCCCCGTGGGTCTGCTGCACAGGTGTGAAAAGGCTTTGTTGAGACACTGCCCTTTCAGTTGTTGGGAAAAGTGTTCAATGGGGATGAATTGTGTTTGGAAATATTCAGTTAACTCTTTTAGAGTCTTTGTGGAGCTGGAGGAGCAAGAAGGAAAGCACCAGGTGTGGGCCTCTCTCCCCATCACCAGAAGGTAGAAGGGTGGGAGGAATGCAGTAGATCTGGGTCAGAATGAAAGTGGTTACAAGATTGTCGAGATGATTAAGTGACATGGCATGCAGGTAAAACACTTACCCTTTGCCTGGTATATCATATCCGCCCCCGCCCCCCGCCCCCCCATGAATGTGAGCAGTGCATTGTTCTAGTAATAATTATTACAACAGCTTCATAGTTTTCCTCTGCGATGTCTCAACTCTGAACTTTTTGCCTCATGGCTTACACAGAGTTAACGGAAGGCATGACGTAGGTGGTGGGCCAGTCGGAGAAACTGTGTGTGCCATTCGTCGGGCACAGCTTTCTCTTTTCACCGAGTGTGGCCATGAATGTGAGCAGTGCATTGTTCTAGTAATAATTATTACAACAGCTTCATAGTTTTCCTCTGCGATGTCTCAACTCTGAACTTTTTGCCTCATGGCTTACACAGAGTTAACGGAAGGCATGACGTAGGTGGTGGGCCAGTCGGAGAAACTGTGTGTGCCATTCGTCGGGCACAGCTTTCTCTTTTCACCGAGTGTGGCTAGAAAGCTTTGTCATGGGCTGAAGAAAGGAGCTCTTGTGGAAGATGTTTCTTTAATTGAGATAGTGTTCTCGTGGGTGCTTTGTCTGACGTCCTGATACTTACTTTTCTTAAGTGGTTGGTTTCCCTGAGGCTGGGCGGCTGTGGTGAGGTCTGCCCGCTCTGCACTCACAGGTCGCCTCCTGGCACACGTTTCCAAGTCCTCTTGTGAGCCTGGGGAGAGGTTTGGGCATCCCACTTTTTAAAAATATATATATTTTATTGATTTTTTACAGATTGAAAGGGAGAGGGATAGAGAGTTAGAAACATCGATGAGAGAGAAACATCGATCAGCTGCCTCCTGCACGCCCCCTACTGGGCATGTGCCCGCAACCAAGGTACATGCCCTTGACCAGAATCGAACCTGGGACCCTTCAGTCCCCAGGCCGACGCTCTATCCACTGAGCCAAACCGGTTAGGGCTGGGCATCCCACTTTTGAGACTGTGTACCCATTGCAGGCCCTTAGGGGATACATTTTCCCCCAAAGTAGAGGCCCTGATCTTGTTTATCCCAAGAGATATTGGGAAAGAGCATAAAGTGAGGGTTCCAGGGTGTTCGGCTCCAGTCCCAGAGGTGTCATTTGTGAGGCCTTAGTTTCTTCAAGGTGTAATGGGAGGATTCCGGTCAGGATGAGAACATGTGCCTGGGAGGGCTTGTGAACTGCTAAATGTAAGGGTGGCATGTCGATGCTGTTAGTGTCCTTACTAACCCAGGGAGTTGGTAAGAGCAGAGACCCATGCTGGTGACTCTAAGGGGGCCCTTTGGTGGGAGCTCCCCAGCAAGGAATGCTTTCTGACATTGTATGTTGAAACCCATCCATCGGTCTACTCACCCATTCATCCATTCATCCACCCACCCACCTATCCATCCAGCCAGCCAGCAGTTATTTATTGAGCTGATATTATATATGCCAAGCAGTGTTCAAGGCCCTGGGTGAGTAAATAGTAAACAATTCCAGCCTTCATTGAGCATGCTTTCGAGTGGGGGTGGGGATTGAAATAAACAAGATAAGTAAATAAAATATGAAGTACCTTTTCACGAACAGACTTGGTGCTTTGAGACCCAGTGGTTGGCATCCTGAAGCAGGTGTTCTCTTCTCTCTCATACACCCTGTTTCTGTTGTGTGTACCACACTGCTTCCCAGCAGACATAGTGAGCACCCTGAGGGCAGAGATTGGGTTGGGTTTGCCATATTTCTCTGGTGCCTAGTTTAGTGACAGACACCTGGTAGGCACGCAATGTGGTTATCAATCACAGTCAACCATATAAAGAGGATAGAAGTAAAAAGTCCCACAGGTACCCATTTCCTGAATGTCTTCTCTGGAATTAATTTACATATCGTTTATAAATAAGTGACACATGTTTAAATGCCTCTTCACTTAACAATACTATTTTGAAGATCATTTCCTTTTAGAGATTTCATATTTTTAAAAATAACTCTACCCCATTAAATGGATGTACCACCATTTATTTAACCAGTTCCCTAGTGATGCTCATGTCATTGTTCGCAATCTTTTTTAAAAAATATATATTTTTATTGATTTCAGAGAGGAAGGGAGAGGGGAGCGAGAGATAGAAACATCAATGATGAGAGAGAATCATTGATCGGCTGCTGCCTCCTGCACATCCCCTACTAGGGATTGAGCCCACAACCCGGGCATGTGCCCTTGGCCAGAATCCAACCCAGGACCCTTCAGTCCGAAGGCCAACACTCTATCCACTGGGCCAAACCGGCTAGGGCTGTTTGCAATCTTTTGCTGTGATGAACACTCCATGAGGAATAATGTTCATATGTCATTTGCACATTTGCAAGTCCTGCAGAATAATTCTGAAAAGTGGGAATACCGACTCAGGACGTACCACATGGCATTAATTCACCAATGAGGGCAGAAAAAATGAGGCCCAGGAGTGGACTAATGACCACATGTAGTGGGCAAGTCACCAGTCCCTGTGTTCTGCTCAAAGTCCTTACGGCATCTAACATCACTCCTTTTGTTTCTGCACTAGGCTGGAGAGTCCACATTCAATCGCGCTAAGCTCCTCAACGTTGGCTTTCAAGAGGCCTTGAAGGACTACGACTACAACTGCTTCGTGTTCAGCGACGTGGACCTCATCCCAATGGATGACCGGAACACCTACAGGTGCTTTTCCCAGCCACGGCACATTTCTGTGGCAATGGATAAGTTTGGATTTAGGTAAGAGCTGTTCACCAGAGTCTATAGAAAACATGTTCCTCTATGATATGACAACAAGGAGATGCAGTTTCTCCAGCCAGGAGAGCTCTATGCTCTGGAGAAGAGTGCCTCCTCTGAGTAATAATTCTTTCCATCCTCCCTTGCTGAGGGCATGAGGTCTGTGAGATAAATATAGGGTTGTTGTAAAGTCCTTCCCCCAGATCAAATGTATTCAGGCCCTAAACTTGCTGTCTTGCGGGAGCAGGGGGATTTAGCTGTAAAAGTCACTCTCTGCACCCCATCTTCCCTCCCTCCCTCCCTCCCTGTTTGTGTATCGTCTTTTTGAGATACACGGGCTTATACCCTGACCCCTCTTAATTCCGCCCTTGAAGCATGGTGGGGATCCCCTAGTTCTTTTCCACAGCACCATGTCTGTTTTCCCAGAACCACTTAGGCTTGGGGGATGGGCAGGAGGTAAGAGAAAGCAGCAGAGACAGCAAAACTAGATCTTGTCAGCTTCTCCCTGTTTGTGTATCGTCTTTTTGAGATACACAGGCTTATGCCCTGACCCCTCTTAATTCCGCCCTTGAAGCATGGTGGGGATCCCCTAGTTCTTTTCCACAGCACCATGTCTGTTTTCCCAGAACCATTTAGGCTTGGGGGATGGGCAGGAGGTAAGAGAAAGCAGCAGAGACAGCAAAACTAGATCTTGTCAGCTCAGCTGGTACTTCCCCTAGAAGTGGCTAAGAGTCCATTTCTGTAAAAACACTCATTATCAAAAAACTTTATTGGCATGGCCACCTCAGGTTCAAACCCTTACGTTGCAAGTGCAGACTGTACTGTAAGGAAAGCAAAAGGTGGCTGACTTGGCCCCTCAGTGCTGGTAGCTTATGACAAATAGATGACCTTAGATTCATTAAAGCACGTCCCCAGGAAGCTTGCTTGTGGATACTTGCGGTCAGAATTCAGAATTCCTGAATGGATTTGAAAATGATAATTGCTTTTTTTTTAGGTTTTGTTTTTCTTGGGTTCTATATGGTTGGCTGACTTTTCTCTTGAAATCTGAGTTAGCATTTTTCTTAATTTGTGTGATAGGTTTTGGTTTCTCTGGATTCCAGTAAGAGCTTGAGTGTGGTTTGGAACTGCACACAGGGGTGAGAAAAAAACCCCACAGCCTTTAAAGGACCCCCAGAAGGCCTTTGCATGGCCTCTGGGCATGTCCTCATTCTGATTCTTAACATTTCTCATCCACGCTTCCTCTGTATCCCTCAGGAGGCCACAGTTCATAACCATTGAAACATTGAAATACAAAAAGTTTTGGAGGGATGAGAGCCCAGATGCCCTGCTGCTTGAAAATGGGTCAAAATAGATTCACCATTAATTATACCTGCTGCTAAGTCAGGACATGGTAGAAATTTCCAAGAAAATGTTCAGGAATGCTATCTTTTTTTTTTTTATCAGAAAATTTACCCGTTTTATTGATGCATCACAATTGCTCTATATTTTACTCTATTATGTAGAAAATACTGAAAATACAAGCTACTTTGTAAAACCAAAGACAAGCATAGAGTCCAAAGATCAACTATGTTTAACACAATGAACCCTCCCCAGGGCCCCACCTGTAGTTATTGGTAAATTTTAACTATGTTTAACACAATGAACCCTCCCCGCGCCCTCCCCAGGGCCCCACCTGTAGTTATTGGTAAATTTTTTTATTTTTATTTTTTTACTGCTCCAGTCAATGAAACAGAAACTTTATTGAGGCCCCACCGTCACAGGGTTCAGGTAGACGGCTGCCCTGTGGACCCAAGGAGTTGGTGGAGGGGCCTTATTTAACCTTCTTCTTGGGGCGCAGGTTGTTGGTGTGGCCGCACTTCTTCCTGCGGCAGTTGACAGCACGGGGGTGCAGGCGGGCGTAACACTTGCGGCAGATCCTCTTGTCGCAGTTGTACTTTTGTGCGAACTGGCGGAGGGAGGGTTCGATGATGCCACCCCTGAGACGCAGCACCAAGTGCAGGGTGGACTCTTTCTGAATATTGTAGTCTGAGAGAGTGCGACCGTCCTCTAGCTGTTTGCCCGCAAAAATCAGACGCTGCTGGTCAGGTGGGATGCCCTCCTTGTCTTGGATTTTAGCTTTGACATTCTCAATGGTGTCACTGGGCTCAACCTCAAGGGTGATGGTCTTGCCAGTCAGGGTCTTCACCAAGATCTGCATCTCTGCGTCTGCTCCGCCGCCTCGTTGACGAGAAAGAGGGTAAATTTTAAATATGTATTTATTTTGTGAGAATGATTATTTTACATACTCCCTAAGTACATCTGCATTATAAACATAGCTCAGTCATTCTCAGAGACTGTTTCTTGAGGCTTGTTGTAAAAGAAAGCGCACAACCAGAAAAGGGAGAAAGCAGAAAAAGTTGAAATCGCACACAACTAGCACGTAAAGTACACTTAATAAAGTTGGAATTCCGTTGCAATATCAAGGACTCAAAGCAGAAATACTAACGTTATATAAACTGTACATATAATGCACTGCTACATGTAGTGAGGTTATTTTTTCAAGCTGAATCAAAACCACACATTAAATAAGTGTAGCAACTTATTCTGATGATGAATGCTGCACCATTCGTCAGTTAAAAACAAAATCAAAATAGGAAGCAGGCTTGGGCCATTCCTGTCATTGAGAAGCAATTTCATCTCCTAACTGAAAACAAACCGTCCTGGCCAGTGGGTGTTTGCATAATAGTGACGACTAAAACACACATCACTGTGCTTGCCTGGCTGAGGGCAGTCGAACTTAGCTCCTCTCCTGGGGGATGATGGATGGCAGAAATGCTCTCTTGATTTTTTTTTAGAGGGAGAGAACAAGACACATCCAGGTGAGAGAGAAACATCGATGGGCTGCCTCTGTCATGCCCCCTACTGGGGATCGAGTCCACAACCCAGACATGTACCCTGACCAGAATTGAACCAGCGACACTTGGGTGCATGGACAATGCTCAACCCACTGAGCAACACCGGCCAGGGCCACAAATGCTATCTTGACTATTGGAATCAGTCGGTTTTTAAGCCAGTATACCTTTGGAAGAATGAAAGCTGGACTGGTAGATGGGATGGGCACATGACAGCGTGGGCACAGGGAGACCCTAGAACAACCTCAGATTCCAGGACTTCCTGGATGAGGATTTCCCGTGTAGGAGCAGATTCCTGTCTGGTGCAGAACTGGGCTTATGCTCATGTAACTGACTGATTTCCTAGATCACCACAGAAGCGACACAGTATTTTTAGAAAGAAGATTCTATTGTTTGATACCTGTGTCTTCTCTAAGATTATCTGAGTCTACTATAAAAACAAAACAAAGAAAGCCCTCATAAATCTCCAGTTAAAAAGTTCCAGAGAATAAAAATAACTTCAGGAGTGTTTATTTTGAGCAAGTTTTATTTCGAGAAAGTCAAAACCTACTAACCACTGGTCCTCTCTGTGTGTGTGTATGTGTTTTCTTTTTTTCCCCACCCCCCAGCTTACCTTATGTTCAGTTTTTTGGAGGTGTGTCTGCTCTAAGTAAACAACAGTTTCTCACCATCAATGGATTTCCTAATAATTATTGGGGCTGGGGAGGTGAAGATGACGACATTTTTAACAGGTAATGGTCACAACTTAGATCTCCTCCTTCTCTGTCACCCTTCACTTCTAGTTTTTCAGTCAATGCTGATTATTCTGTAGGGCTTTTGACCCTCAGGAAGGATGCATCCCCACTCAGCCCAGGGTCTTATGTGTGCCCAGCTGTAGACACTGTATGTGCTGAAGATGTCTTTAGGAAAATTAGCTACTGCTATTTAAAGAAAAAAAATTAAATTTATTGATTTTTAGAGAGAAACATTGATTTATTGTTCCACTTATTTATACATTCATTGGTTGTTTCTTGTATGTGCCCTGACTGGGGATCAAACCCACAACCTTGGCATATCGGGATGATATTCTAACCAGCTGGGCTACCCAGCCAGAGCAGCTTCTGTGATTTTTTTTTTAAAATATATTTTATTGATTTTTTACAGAGAGGAAGGGAGAGAGATAGAGAGTTAGAAACATCGATGAGAGAGGAACATCGATCAGCTGCCTCCTGCACATCTCCTACTGGGGATGTGCCTGCAACCCAGGTACATGCCCTTGACCGGAATCGAACCTGGGACCCTTGAGTCCGCAGGCCGACACTCTATCCGCTGAGCCAAACCGGTTAGGGCGCTTCTGTGATTTTTGCATTAGCCTTGGAAAATGTAAAATGAGAACCAAGTGAAGGAGTGTACTTTGATGCATACCGCGTGCCATTCTGTCCTGAAGGAGTAAACATGTGTCCTTCAGCCCTAGCTCGTTTGGCTCAGTGGATAGAGCATGGACTGTGGACTGAAGGGTCTCAGGTTCGATTCCTGTCAAGGGCACATGCCCAGGTTACAAGCTCAATCCCCAGTAGGGGGCACGCAGGCGGCAACTGATCAATGATTTTCTCATCATTGATGTTTCTATCTCTCCTTTCCCTTCCTCTCTGAAATCAGTAAAAATATATTAAAAAACAAACAAAGCAAAACAAAAAAACACACGTGTCCTTCGTAAAAATTCAGCATCTCGTTGTGGTCATGTTTGAGTATGAAACAAGTTTCTTTGGACAGGATTCCAAGTTCTTCACAGAATCTTGGTACTGTTTTATTTATTTAACTTTTTGGACTCTTTTTAACATATGCGAAAGAGGACAGTGTAGTGTGATGGTTGCTGTGTACCCACTGGCCCCGCAACCATCATTTCACAGCCAACCCCCAAAACCCCCACCCTTGGACTCCCTGGAAGTTGGTAAACCTTTATGGTAGGTTGTCATTGCAGAAGGTATAAATCACCTGTAAGTAGCATTTGAAACCACATTCTGCCCAGTTCTCCCCAGCAGTGGAGGCTTCGACCCTGCCAGCTACGGATTAAAAGCACCTACTCCCTCTGGGAGCCAGTCTGAACTTGTCTCTGAGTTTGATGTCAAAATACACCCTGGTGCCTTCCTGGATTACAGAACACTAATTTGATCAGTTAACAGAAGGTGTCTGTCAGAGCAGCACCCAAGTCATTCAGGGTTAACTTTCTGTGAGAACCTGGCATAGGCCCAAGTCTTTAATATAGGCCTTGAAGAACACTTGAGTTTTCAAGTATGCAGATCGAGTGTCCGCTGCATGAGAGCACTGTGCCAGGTGGGCCCAATCGGGAAGACACTGAAGACATGGACATGGAGTCCAGACAGAAACAAACTTGCGCCCACAGTACCACACCTGGGCAGACACTGGGCTGATGTGACAACAGAGACCTGAGTGGTCACAAAGGTTGGGGGTAGAGGGGGCCGGAGCACAAAGTACCAACATCCCAGGCTGGAGGGACTAGAAGGGTGAGTGGTTTGTGGAGCAGCTTTCTTGGAAAATAAAGGACCTAACTCTTACTATAACGCCTACTCACTGTGTGCCAGGTCCTGGGGGCAAGGCCAGCAACCTTTAAAGTCATCCAGGAGCACAGCCTCTTAACTTCTCTGTTCCTGCTTTGGTTTTGGTCCTCATTCCTTTCCCCTAGACCAGTGGCCGGCAAACTGCGGCTTGCGAGCCACATGCGGCTCTTTGGCCCCTTGAGTGTGGCTCTTCCTAAGCCTTAGGAGTGCCCTAATTAAGTTAATAACAATGTACCTACCTATATAGTTTAAGTTTAAAAAATTTGGCTCTCAAAAGAAATTTCAGTCGTCGTACTGTTGATATTTGGCTCTGTTGACTAATGAGTTTGCCGACCACTGCCCTAGACCTACACACAGAACCTTCCATGCCGTTCTGGCTGCCCCTGGTCTTATTCCCTACTCCCCCTTTTTATACTGCTTATCAGAGAGATGTCTCCCTGGCTAAAAACGTTTGGGAAACACTGCGTATTCCATCCTTTTCTGACGCTGGCACGGTTCACTGGCACTGTTGCTTGAAGCTTTGAGAAGGCCTCCATGATTTAGCCTTTGCCCATCTTTTCAGCCTCATCTCCAGCCACTTCCAACCCCAGATCCTTTCACCAGTCCCTGAGGCTGTGTTGCTCCTGAGGGCACCGTGCTTGCTCTCCCTGCCTGCCTTTGCCTGTGCTTTCCCGGCCGCCCAAACGGGTCTGGCCGGCGCCATTCATCTTCACGACCTGGCTCTGCCTGCTGTTGCTCTGTAACGATAATTTGTCCCTTTGCTCTCTGCAGATTAGTTTTTAAAGGTATGTCTATATCTCGCCCAAACGCTGTGGTTGGGAAGTGTCGGATGATTCGCCACTCAAGAGACAAGAAAAATGAACCCAATCCTCAGAGGTGTGTTCTGTGTTTGTTTCTATTCCTTCTTCCCTCTCTACGTTGGGGCAGAAATGAGCTCTGGGGAGGGCTCCATGCCTGGAGGGGGAGGGAGGGCTCGGTCCAAGGGGGGAAAGCAACAAAGTGCAAATGTTCAATGCTTTTTTTCTTAAGATTTTTGTTTTGACACCAACCTCTTGCTCTTTTTTTCCTTGTAGGTTTGACCGAATTGCACACACGAAGGAGACAATGCTGTCTGATGGTTTGAACACACTGACTTATAAGGTGTTGGACATAGAGAGAAACCCATTATATACCAAAATCACAGTGGACGTCGGGACACCGAGCTAGCATTTTGCTACCCTGATAAAGACCTAAAAATGGCCAGGGACCCCTGCTGTGTCTCTGCCAACGTGCTGGGCTGGCCCCTCATTCTTACAATCAGCGTGATAGCCCCCTTCGCTCGTCATTTACATGCCTTCCCGGATGACCAGAACAAGTGGGGTATTTTGCCCCCAGCTTGACGCGGCATGTGACTTCTTAGCTCTACGAGGCGTTTGTATGTGTAGAAACTGTCAGCCTCTGGGGGTTCTCAGCATGTTCACAGTGTCACCCCAAAGAATCAGTATATACAGCCCCAAATTTGGTGACTGTGGGACTCGTTCCCAGTGGTAAACTGCAAATTTGTTGTGAAATAGGTAAGAATTTTGTTTTAAATCGTGTATTCTTAGTACTTTATGCAAAATTGGAGAGTGCTGCTGAAATTGGATTGGTGTGATATTTTTTGGTTGTCATATTTTAAACAGAAAAACTGTGTCAACCATTCTCATTTTACCGCCCCCCACCCCACCTTCTTTTAGTGCTATACAACTGTTCCAATCACTGTGTGTATCTCTTCTTAGCAAAAGAGTTCTAAAACATGAGCCTCAGACCTTTTGCCCTGCTAACGTGTGAATTCCAAGGCAACTTTAGCCATCAGAGCGAAATCCTTGGGTGTTCTCACATTCAGTGGCCTTTCTCCACATTGCCTGATTTCCGAATGTAAAACTTATTGGAAAGAGCAGGTTGCAGTTTGTAGTATTTTAAAGACCAAATCAAATTCTGATTACTGATCTAGCTTGATTTTGTGTTGATCCAGATTTTCATGGCTGTTTAGTGTTCAAACATGGCAATTGATTTTTCTGAGTATGTAAACTTGAATTTCCTATGTATTTTTATTGTGGTGTTTAAATGTGAGGAAGGGACTGAGCATTTTTTTAGGGGCGGGACAGGGGGCGATTCTGTATGCTGTAGTAGCCATGAGCAGGCCTCTGATTTAGCTTGCCGGCCAGGTTTTGTGAAGAACAAAATCACTTTTGGGTCCTTTGACGGGGCAAGCCCCCCCCATCCCACCCCACCCCCACCACACACACACACCTCTGCAGGAAGGCAGAATCCTTGGCCTGCCAGGCAGTGCTCCCCATCTCTTTACCCTCCCCAGGTGGGCAGGGCGGAGGGAACCTCTACCACCTCCTTGGACTGACACCAAGACCTCCCACCAGGGCGTAGGCTGTGGAGTTGTAAATGACAGCAGTCAGAACTGTTTACTGGCCCTTAGCCTGGGGAGGTGGAGGGAACCTCGGTTCTGGCCCCTTGGATGGAAGGGCTGCCTCCCTCAGGTTTGGCCCAACACTGCCTGTCCCACCTTGCAGGACCGGTTCTCCTTCTTCCTCCCCCCTTCTGCCCTCCCCTTTTTTGTTCCTTTGCTTTTTGCCTGTTCCCTAAAACTTGCCTGTGGCACTCAGGGTCAAATACACTATTCATTCTCCAGCATGAATGTGCCTTTTAATTAGAAACATAGAAATTCAGCTGAACCCACTCACACTCCCCCAGGACCACTCTGGTGCCTAAAGCCTCCCTTTCCCCCTCGGGGTCTTTAGCAGGTGCTCCCCCTCCTGGGAGGCTGACCCCCAGGGCTGTCTTCTTCAAACCTGCCTCTGCTGGGAGAGGCTTCCATGCCGGGGGTGAGATGCACGAGGCAGTTTCAACACTGGGCTAAGGGCCTGAGACTCAGCTGTTTAATCCCAGGCTTGACCTTTCCGCTGGTGGCCACTCAGACCTCCTGGGAACCAGCCCTCAGTGTGGATGGAGGCTGAGTTGGTGTCCAGCGCCAGTCTTACCTGTGCCTTTATTGCTTTGAGCATCTCAGATGCTAACTTGGTTCTTTTCCCAGAAGCCTTTGATTAAAATTTATTTTCCACTGCACAAGCTTTGGGGCTATGCAAAGAGTATTCCTTCTGTCAATCCCCTGCTCCTTAACAGAGATGTTAATAAAATTCAGAACAACTGCACTGAGAAGGAGTTTTGGGAAATGCAAAGAATGAAGGCCTCTCTTTGTGACCCCAGATCCTGACTTTTCCAAAGTGCCTTAAAAGAAGGAGACAAATACCTTGGGAAGTAACTTCTTTGTTACTTACTGTACTCTTTTTTTTAAAAAAAGACTTTTTTTTCCTTCTTTTGTTTTTTTTTAATATTTTCTTTCATGTTACATTGGAATATTCAAGTATGTGGTTCATTCTCAGAACCAAGGGAAATCCTGCGTCATCTGTTCCTCCTTTGCTCACCTTTGGTGCTCTCATGGGCGCCACCTGAGCCCAAGGTTAGGCCTGCCGGCCTGCCTGGTTCATGAGAGGCTGTAGGTCCTGTTTCCTCCCTGGGGAGTTCAGAGCAAGAGGGTTCAGGGGGCATTTCCTTTACCTGGAAGTTGTCACCATGAAGTTGTCCTGTTCTGTGCCTTTGTTTCTGTCCTTCCCGTTGCTGGTGACCCTGTGAAGTGGCTTTTGGAGAAGATCAGAGGGCGGAGGTGGCCCGGGAGGGTAAAGGAAATGCGGTCTGGCTCTCAGCCTGGGCAGGGTCTCTGCTGACCTCAGGGCTGGCCATGGGGTGTCCCACACAGCCGGGACAGCAGCGGTCCTGTCCTGGAGACCTGTTGTGCTGTGTGTTTCGATTTCCTGTGTGTGCAAATGTATGTATTGACTATTGTGAGTGGGAGGGGGGAATGTCTGACTTTGATGTTCAAAACAGAACTGTATTTTTGCCTTTAAAATCCAGTAATATAACACGAATAAATGTCCTTATCTTTGTAACTGCTGGCGGTTTCTCTTCTGATTTAAAGGTTTGGACGCTGCCAGAGCTGGTGGGCAGTGGGGGGGCTACCTTCTGGGAGGATTTGAGGTCTGCCTTTGTGCCTCCCTGGTTCAGGGTGTCATGGCTGGGGCCTTGGGTAGCAGAATCCCCACACACTACCCAGGAAGCACACAGCTGGGTTAAACACACCTCCCTGGAATCAGCTGATAAGAAAAAAATTCTGAGATGTTCTAAATTAAGTTACAGTGGCCTGAGAGGGAGAAAAAGAGCTGGAACTGTTAGTCTGTTAATGGCTGCAGGCCAACTAATGAAAGACATCTCAGCCCTAGCCGGTTTGGCTCAGTGGATAGAACATCAGGTTGTGGACCAAAGCGTCCTGGGTTCGATTCTAGTCAAGGGCACGTATCTTGGTTGCAGGCTCCTCCCCAGCCTGGGCTCTGGTCAGGGCTCATGCAGGAGGCAACCAATCGATGTATTTCTCTCACATCGATGTTTCTCTCTTTTCCTCCCTCTTCCACTCTCCCTAAAAATCAATGGAAAAATATCCTTAAGTGAGGATTAACAAAAATAAATAAACAAACACAATCTTTTAAAAAATCTCATATACCCCTCAGTGAAGAGAAGTATGTATCTTTGTGTAACAATTAAGCAAGCATTTGCTTAGGGGAAGCCTTTTTTCTTCATGTACTCATTAGCATCTCTGGATCCATTTGTACCTAACATAGTTAAAAAGTGCTACAAAAGAGAACAGATATACTGAAAGCTTTATGAAATTTTACCTAGCCTGCTGTCAGAAGAAAAAAAAAACTCATATAATAAAACCCTAATATGCAAATTGACCGAACAGCAGAACAACTGGTCACTATGACTTGCACTGACCACCAGGGCGCAGACAGTGCAGGAGCTGCCCCCTGGTGGTCAGTGTGCTCCCACAGGGCGAGCGCCACTCAACCAGAAGCCAGGCTCACGGCTGGCAAGTGCAATGGTGCTAGAGGGAGCCTCTCCCGCCTCCATGGCAGCGCTAAGGACCCCTCGGGGGTCCCGGACTGCAAAGAGCATAGGCCGGGCTGAGGGACCACCCCCTGCCCCCCAGTGCATGAATGTCGTGCACCAGGCCTCTAGTAAATCAATAAAAGACATCCCACATTCCTGTTTTGCCTGTTGGAATTTTGGATTAATTTCCAGGTGGCTATATCCACAGATTATTTTAGCCAGACACCTTCTGACTCCAGGAGTCCCCATTTGTTTGCATGTGGGCTTTCTGGACCGCTGCCCACAGCCACTCCACTGGTGCAGGCATTTCTTTATTCGACTCTGCTGCCCAGAGCTGGCCCCGCTTCACCTTCTCCCACCCCTTTGCCTGTAGCTCATGTAAATCCTTTCAGACTACTTCTTTCTTCTTCTTCTTCCCTTGACTCGATGTATTAAACCGGTTGCAGAACTCTGGGATGACGGACATACTACCTTTTCTGTCTGGCCATGCTGCTGGTGGCTTAGACTCCATGCCCCAAGACCAGTCGTTTGGTTAGCATTTTTGGCTCAATAAAACCTTATATGTTAAAAAAGACTTCAGTCATGGAAGTTAAATATAGTCATTTCCTCATCCGAACCTCATTTTCTTATCTGTATAATGGGAATAATAACACATAGATACATTTTGAGGCTTAAAAGATAGGAAGTATCTAAAACAATGATGGACACCTGCAAATTTTGTTGAACACCTAGGATACAATGGCAGAGGAGGTTTGAGTTCAAAGTCTAATGGGAGGAAAGAGGCAGCACAGACGTTTTCAAAGAATCAAGTAAGTGGATGGAGCCCGGCCGGTGTGGCTCAGTGGTTGAGCATCCACCTATGAACCAGGACGTCACAGTTCGGTTCCTGGTCGGCACATGCCCGGGTTGCTGGCTCGATCCTAGTGCGGGTGTGCAGGAGGCAGCCAATCAATGATTCTCTCTCATCATTGATGTTTCTCTTCCTCTCTTAAATCCCTAAATACATTTTTAAAAATTAAAATTAAAAACACACATGACGAACACCTTACAGGTACTCATTACAATAGTAGCTAGCCCCACTTCAAAGTAGGATTTTCCTTAGCACTTCTCTGGCCACATTCCTGCTATTTTCAACAAATGCCAGAATAGTTCTGAGATAGTTGTCAGAGCCACTTACACAAGGTGTTCACAGTGTCACTTAATATGGCCCCAAATAAGGCTCTTGTCAGCCCCAGGAAAATTTACTAAAAGGCCTTAGTTGTGACCCAAGGATGTGGGACATTAAGTACCCAGCAGCAGCCTCCTACGTGCTGCTTGGATGGAATTGGCACCTGGAAGGAATGGGCCTGAGGGAAGCAGTGTGCAGGCGCCACTGCCCCTGCTGTCCGAGCTGAGGTAGGTCCAGGCCCTGCTGGGACGGAGCTGAAAAGTGGGACCAGTGGGAAACCAGGACAGAAAGGGCAGCCCCTTTTAGCTCCTCTGTCCGGGCAGTCTGGCTGTCTCTACCCATCCCTGTGACTGCCGAAGGATCCCTTGTGGCCCCAGGCCTGAGCAGAGGTGGCCCGGGGCTCAGATCTGACCGAGCAGCAGACTCTGGTCCTCTGGACAAAGTGCTGCCTCACAGGGCTTTGCAAGGCCTGATGTGCCTATGAGGGGCAGGAGTGCCTCTTGCTAGTTCTGTGACCTTGAGCAGATGACTTCGACTCTCTGTGCCTCAGTTTGTTCATCTGTATAAAGGGGGTAGCAATACCTATTTTCCTAGAGTTGTTACAAAGAACAAGCCAGTTAATACTTATAAAGCACTTAGAACATGCCTGGCTCATACTAATCATTGTGTGTTACAAATGTTTGTTACTTTTTTTAAATGCACGTGGACACACCTGCTGACGTGCATACAGACTGCTGTACACACATTACCAACATACACACATGTCAGATAGAGTGGAGCTCTTTATTCTTTCTCCTCTAGGGCACATGTCTGGGGCTTACCTATGTGGTGGTTGGGTAAGTAACAATTCCTCTTCTGGAGACACCCAGGACCTTACCAGTGGTGTGTCCCCACCCCTTCCCCACCTCACCTAAGCAAAGGTGTTTGGAATGACTGCCTTGGGGAGGGATGGGTCTTGCACCCCCACCCACCCCCTGGGCTCCAAGGGGCCAGGAAAAGAAGAAGTAGGAGGAAGAGGGTCAAGGACAGGTTCCTGGGGTTGGCCATTCCTTGGGAAGTGATCTGTCTCTAGTCTCCCACTTTACACGGGACCCAGACCAAGTCGGAGCCAGGCAGAGCCCAGTAGTTGTGAGTGTGGATTTGGTGAGCCTCAGGTCCGCCCCCCGCCCCCATGTAGTAGCTCTTTTCCATGTGAGAATGTGACCTGGATGCCAAATCAGTGACCCACAGATGTCCTTTGGAGGCAGGGCTGTGTGCCCAGGTAGGTGGGTGCCTATGGAGGTATGTGAGCGAAACCCACCCCAGGCAGGTGACAGGGGAACTGGGGAGGGTGGTCAAGAGGTCAAGGAAATGAGATGACCAAGTCCCCACCACACTCCCAGGCATCCATTCTCTTGTTTCTTCCAGGAGGTGCGAGTTCAGACTTTCCTTGGAACCAATTTCTTCTTAGAACTGGAACTTCTTACCCCATTAGAGAGGAAATGAAGTTTGTCTGGCCGAGCTAGTCATGCCAGACAAGCCTCATTTCCTCCTGGCAGAGTCCCCAGGCAGGGAACGTGGCTGCTGCTTTTGTCTAGACTCTGGGACCTGTACCCAGGCTGTGAGGCAGAGGAACCTGCAGGGCATGGTTGCCATGGGAAGTTACAGGATCAATAGACCAGAAACCAGAGGAACGTGGCACTCCAAGGACATCTGCACTGGAGCAAGACGTGTGCCAGGTCACCAGGCAGGGGGCCCGGGAAGACAGCCAGGAAGAAGCCATACAGTGATCATAACTTCGGCTCTTCTGCCTTCCCACGCACCATGTGTGTCTGGCTGGGCAAGTCGACTCCCCAGTCTGAGCCTCAGTTTGCTCTTCTGTTTTATGGTTGACTCTCAGAATCTATGCCTGGTCTCCCCATAGTTTTGCACAGTAGAAAGTGCCCTGATCTTAGTAAAAATAGCAGGATCTCCCTGCCTGCACTCTCTCCTCCCAGAGCTGCTTGAGCATCATAGGAAAAACTGTTAAAGCTTTAGCTGGGGTGGGGAGGGGGGTAGCAGGGGAGCGTGTGGTTTCTGATGCCATCTCCCTCTTCTGCCTGAGGCCCCTCCAGGCGCAGGGCAGACTACTCTCTCCTGCTCTCTCTTAGGTTTTCAAAACTCAGTCTTCCTGGTCATCCCACAGGACCTGAGGGGGAAGCACAGGAGTGGGGGGTAGGATGCCTGAGCCTCTGCTCAGCTCTGCGATTGAAGGTGGTGTAGGAGCTGCCTACCTAGGTTCCTTTCCAGTGACCATCTTTCCTGTAACAAAGGGACGGACTTGGAATATCCTGCCCTTAAGAAGGCTCCCTGTGGAAATGCAATTCAAGCCCTGGCTGGTTTGGCTCAGTGGCTAGAGCATCGGCCTGCGGTCTGAAGGGTCCCAGGTTCGATTCCAGTCAAGGGCATGTACCTTGGTTTCGGGCACATCCCCAGTGGGGAGTGTGCAGGAGGCAGCTTATTGTTTCTCTCTCATTGATGTTTCTAACTCTCTATCTCTCTCCCTTCCTCTCTGTAAATATATATTTTTTTAAAATTCAGTTGTCTATCCATTTGTTCATCAATCAATTAATGTAAGCCTATATGTTTTGCTTAATTGACTAAAAAATCTCTGTGTATAGTACCAACCTCAGCCTTGTAATTTTTAAAAACTAAAATATAATTTCTTCATTTGGTGCATGATGAAGTTGATTAGATGGACATATATTTTTAAATATGTATATACTTCATAATTTCTAGTTGTAAATAATAATAACTATATAATACACCATTAGAAATTGTTACAACTAGACTTGAATATGCTAAACTTTCATTAGCCTT